CCTGGCAGCTGGTCCAGCCGCCTCGGGGACTCCGAGGAGAGTGACCGCAGCGAGGCGCGGGGACAGTCCAGCTGTCAGCGCGCAGGGCCGGGCCGCGGCTCAAGTCTGCCCCCAGGTCCACACCCAGAGCCCCCCGTGTGTCAGACGGTGACTGTCTCGGAGAGGAGGTGATCAGCGGAAAGGTCGGGCGGGCCTGACCGACTCGACCCGCCCCGGCTAGAAGAGGCCGGGGGCTCACGCGGGACACCAGGCCCACTCGGGGCCCGGGGGACGGAGGGGCGCAGAGGGCTGCGAGGAAGCCCACCCCAACTCCGCGACCTTGGCTTCCAAGGCGACGCCCCAGACGGTTTCAGAGACGGGCCCGGGTTCTGTTCCGGCCAAGCACAAGCCGTCCGGGCCAGCGCCTCTCACACGCCCCGCACAGAGCCACGCCGGCCAGGGGCCGCCACCCCCACACTGCGGGGGCCGGGCTGAGCCAGCTGACCCCTGCTCCCGGCCCGCTGGGCTCTGCCGGCTTCCCCGGGAAGGAGGGGAGAGTCCAGCTGGGGGAAGGCCGAGAGGGGCTGCACCCCAAGCGGGCGAGATGGACACAGGAGGGATGGACACGGGCTGGATGGGCACAGTGGGGTGGACACAGCGGGTGGACATAGGTGGAATGGACATGACGGGATGGACATGGATGGGATGGACATAGGTCGGATGGATACAGGTGGGTGGACACAGGCAGGATGGACACAGCAGGGTGGACATAGCGGGTGGACATAGGTGGAATGGACATGACGGGATGGACATGGGTGGGATGGACATAGGTCGGATAGATACGGGTGGGGTGGACACAGGCGGGATGGACATGGCGGCATAGACATGGGCAGGATGGACACAGGTGGGATGGACATGGGCTGAATGGACACGGGCAGGGTGGACACGGCAGGATGGACACGGCGGGATGGCCCGGCCCCCTCTGATCCGGGCTGCAGCAGGGGCCGGGGACACCAGAAGAACCTTCGTGTGGGACCGACTTGGGCCGGGGACCTTCACCCGCCCCTCGACCTCCCACCACGCCGGGGGAGGCGTGGCCGCACATTCCACAGGACGGACAGTGGTGCGGGAGCTGTGCGCGCCTGGCCAGCTCGCGGGGCCGGGGCTGGAGCGCAGTCGCCTGACGCCCGGGGGCCGCCCGCCCTGGGCTCTGGCAGCAGGCGGAGGGCGCGCGGCACCAGCGGAGGCCCCGGAGAGCCGGAGCGGGGACGCGGCGTCAGAGCGGGCTCACGGGGGGCGGGCAGGGACACGCAGGAAGCGCCCTGGCTTTCGGTGCCAATTCAGTGGGAGCCCAGTGCCTCCCGCTGGCCCTTCAAGCTACTGCCACCACCCCTGGGCAGACCAAGAAGCGGCTGTGGATCCGGGCAGCGGCGCTCGGTGGGACTCTGCGCCCGGCCCAGCCCCCCCGTGAGGCGCAGCCCCCCGTGGCTCCGTGACCCCGTCACAGCGGAACAGGGCCCCGTGTCCCTCTGCCACCCACAACGCACAGTCAGGGGAGCGAGATCCACCCGGGGCACCAGACGCGGCGCAGAGGCCATGACGGAGCCGGACTCACGCACGTGTCTCCCCAGACGGGGACCCTGGAATTCTGGTGCCCAGCTGCGGGTCGGGAGACGAAGCAGCGGCCAGCACGGAGACGGCAGCGTCCCGCTTTCTAAGTCAGGTCGCCCCAACTTCCCAGGCCCCTGTGAGGGCTGCCTGCTGAGCCCCACACGGCGGCCGGGGGCCAGCGGGGCGCAGTGTTCGGTCCTGCCAGCCCGCGGCTCCCCAGCAGATCCCCAGGTGGTTTGCGTCAAAATCTGGCCTTAGTACTTCCCCAGCAGGGTAGCGAGCACCAGGCACAGGAAGAGGGGTGCTCAGAAACAGGGGTCCTCTCGCCGCCCCTCGCACCCAGTCTCCCAGCGCCTCATTCGCGGGGCACCGCCCCTCCCCGGGGCCACGGGCAGGCACCCGAGGCGCTGTCAGTTCAACCCACTTTATGAGGCCGTCCTCCAGGTAGACGTCGGCGTAGAAGGACTGGTCATCGTTGATGATGCGTCCACCCTTGATGAGGAGGCGGTCACTCTGAAAGCCAAACAAAGACCCTGTGTCACTGGGGGAAGCGGGGCAAGGGGTCTTCTACTTTGTATCTTGCAACAGAAAGTCACTCAAACATTGTCAAAAGGCAGGAAAGGACATTTCTAGAAAGCCCCTGATCACCAGTCCACCCCGAGCCCGGACACTTCGGCTGCTGCTGACACATTTTACCGCTAATCCAGACATCTTCCCTGGGTCACGTCGGTGCAGACCCAGCTGCTCAGGAGCTCTTCAGAGACACACACCACCCAGCAGCCCAGCAAGCCCCTTCCGCCCGGTGCTGCGCATCAGTCACGATCAGTGAGGGGCCCTGCGTGGTGGCCGGCGGGCGAGGACGCAGCCCTGCAAGCGGCCGCAGCCGCTTCACCGGAGATCGATCCCCGCCCCGGAGCCGGCCCACGGGGCGCGGCAGACCTCTCCTGTGTCCCCCGCTCCCCTCAGCACTGTACTTTGTAGTCTGCCTGTCCTGCTCCCCACTCTGTCTGGTGATCCTGTACCCCAGTTCTGTGTGCGTAAATACATAAATCTTTAAAAAAAAAAAAATCAGTGAATGGCTGTCTCGCCGTCTAGGCTCCTGCGCCGGGGGCTTGAATCAGGCAGCACAGCCCGCGTGCCGGGGCGCTCCTGATGCCCCAATTCCGTCTCTTCTCCCCCATTTAATGTCATTCATTTGCTAAGGAACTGGGTCACTTGCAGAGCAGGGACTCTGCAGCTGTTGACTAGAAGCGACAGTGAAAAGACTAAAATAAGCCCTATAGCCCACCCCACACGCTCCTCGTTCCCACCTTCCCACGATTTCCCAGCTGTGATCGTCACCCATTCACTCTGCGCCCGCAGCCCTGGCTGGCCGCCCCCAAGTGGAAAAGGGGCCCCCACACACCCGCCTTGACGGCCAGAGCAGAGGGCCCCCGGGCAGTGGCTGGGCAAGGCTCAGAGGGGAGAAGGGCCCTAGCCTGGGCCTTCTGGAGGGGGGTGCGCAGCGACCCATCAGTGAGCAGCAGAGACCAGAGACGCATGTTGAAGTCGGAAAACTCCCCAGCTCGCTCCGAGCCCCTCCCGGCCCAGCCGCTCACCCAGGCCCCTTCTCTCTGACCGGGCCAGGCCTCGGGGGCCAGCACTGGGGACAGGGCTGCAGCGTGCCTGGGGGTGCAGGAGCTCAGGAGTCTCGGGGTCCCAGAGGAGCAGTGGTGGCTCCCTCCCGGCAAAAGCCCCCCCGGCGTGGGCTGCCAGCGTGGCCTGCCAGCGTGGCCTGGGCTTGGGCAAGGCCAGCTTGGATCCCCGGAAGGGGGGTCGGGGAGAGGGCAGGCGAGCGAGGGCTGCGCCGGGATGGAGTCCAGCCCAGAGGCCCAAGGACTCAGGGGCCAAAAGGAGCGACAGCCTGCCCCTCCCTGGGGCTCCGGCCTGCCCCTCCCTGGGGCTCTGGCCTGCCCCTCCCTGGGGCGCCGGCCTGCCCCTCCC